AGACAAAATACTGGAGAACACTAAGTGGTCTCCAAAATGTAGGTGTTGAATAGGCAGCTTGAGAAAAGCTATGCGATTTGGAGTACGATGATGGCATCGTATACTTGTTCGAATCTATAGAGGATGCGCACAGCGCACTTGATACAGCAAGTTCTGTCGCTCTTTTCGGCATGTGCTTCGTACCTTCAAAGTACAAAGTGATGTTGTAAAACTGGGTTTCGCCGAGTTCCGTTCTGAAACTAGACGGTCTAGCTGTAATTGACTGCTTCTTGTACTTGGGTAGCTGCGTGACCAACGACGGTAGCGCATCAAAGGAGATGACCGCCCGCATTTCAAAGGCTCGAGCAGCCTACGGAAGACTGAAACACCTGTGGCGGCGACGTGACGTTTCATTAAAGTTGAAAAGTCGCGTAGACTGTGCCACTGTACGATCAGTTCTGCCGTACGGTTGTGAGGCCTTGGACTTGCGGGTAGAAGACATCCGTCGTTTAGCAGTGTTCGACATACGATGCTTACGTAGTCTGGCCCAAGTGGGATGGAGCGAGCGGGTTAGTAACTTAGAAGTATGTAGTCTGCGAACACCGCCACACATACAGACGACAAACCATTGTCGTATTTTTAGACATCCGAGCGGCTTTCTACTCTATCGATTGCCCCGCACTGTGGAACTGTTTGCGGAGATACGGAGTACTCGAGAAGTATTTCTCTCTCCTAAAGGCGCTCTATCACCAGAACTCGGGAAAGGCTAGGGCCTACTGTGAATTTTCACCCTTATTACCTGTCACCAGTGGGGTGCGACGGGGTTGCCCTATCTCTCCGTTTCTCTTCAACTTTGCCATAGATGTCCTACAAAACGCGTTACATAACGCAGCGAACGCTGGTCTCGAGCTCCTTCCTGGGGACAGAGTCGTAAACCTAGAGTACGCCGATGATATTACCTTACTGGGTGACAACGCACCAACATTTCATGCGTCTTTGAACCGTTTGGCAGTTGAGGTTACTCGCTATGGTATATCATTTGCACCTTCAAAGTGCAAAGTGTTGTTGCAAGGTTGGCAGAAACCCATTCCTGCACTTTCATTGGATAAGGACACTCTGGAAGTAGTCGAAAGCATTGTCTACCTTAGGAGTTGCATAACGGCTGGCGGAGGTTTGGGCGAGGAGATCTCTGAACGCGTGATCAAAGCTAGATTAGCGTTTGCTAATCTGCGGCATCTCGGGCGCCGGCGCGATATATCCCTTTCATTGAAAAGGCGTGTGTATTACGCAACGGTACGCACCGTGCTGCTCTATGGCCGCGAGACCTGGCCTCTCCGAGCAGATCACGTCCAGCAGCTATCAGTCTTCGACAACCGTTGTCTGCGCAGTATCACCCGCGTATGGTGGGAGCATTACATAAATAACGATGAAGTCAGACGACAGGTGTTAGGACCAGATAGTCTTCCTTTGGGCAAAATAATTTCACAGCATCGTCTTTTCATCAGGCACGTCCTGCGAATGCCTGAGCACCGTCTGCCACACCATGCACTACTCGCAGATATCGGTCCAGGCTGGAAGAAACAACGAGTTGGGCAGGCTATGACGTAGCGCAGAGGATTAAAGAGATTGTGTTCGAATCTGGCTTCCGTTGGGCCTTCCCCGGCTGGGGCCCCAAAGATTCAGATCGTCTTTGGCTGGAGACACTGTGGGATATGGCATCGAACCGAAGTCAGTGACGCGAATGCGTCACCTCTTGTCTACAATCCCGAAAATAAATAAAAACGAAAAAAACTCAAAATGGCGTGCAGCAAACAAAAAAATATTGTTAAACCTCGAAGTTGACTGTTTTATTTTCCTCGTTTTTTTACCTATATTTTTTTGCTCACCCATGGTTATCTTTGGCGCCGTATCTGTAAAGATTGGTGTTAATAATAATAATGATAATAAGTAAGTCGTCGGGGTGTGTGGGAATGCATCGAACAAGAAGATGCTATCGTATCGAATCCAGATCAATAGGCCTCGTTGGTTAGGACACATTTTGCGTATGTCCGACGGTCGGCTACCGCAGCGCGCCTTATTCGCGGTGGCTGTTGCAGGCTGGAGAAAGCCACTTGGAGACGTCGAGACGAGGCATGACGAAATGCACAGAGCACTTAGGCAGAGTAGGTGTCTCTCGTCTTCCGGGTTGGGTACAGAAGACTCCGAAACCGCATGGTTGGAGACACTGAAGATTATGGCCACGAACTGACAGCAATGGTGATCATGCTGTCACTTCTTGTCAGACTAGAATGCTTGAAATAGTATGTATGCACAATGACTGTGTACTCTGTGTGTTGACGATAAGGTTCACTTCCTTTTCCCGTCCCTAAGAATAGATCCAATCCCTGTCGTCCTTACATATTCTCACTTACCTTGTATGCATTATGAGTTTGGCAGCGATCAGAGTTTCGCTTCACTGTGTTACACTGTACAATGATGGTGATGATGAATAAATAAATAGTGCAAGAGTGAACAACTGATACGGAACATTACTGCTCCCTTATTTGTGTACTAGAGTTTTCATCCTAACTTACTGCCATTCACCCACCCAGCTCCGGGAGAACGGAGCGGAAAGATGGACTAAAAGCTGGGAACGTCTCGGGTATCGACGTTCCAGGAAGCGTCAGGATCTTCCTGTAGCCAACTGAAGTATGGTCTGAATTAAAAAATCTGGTGTGTTCTAGGTAGTTGTTCCAATTTTCCTCTTGATTTGGTCAGTGTCACTCGTTCATCATCCAGGAGCAAATCTAAAAGTATGTCCGTTGCTTAACCTTCGCTTAATCAATCGTCATTAAATTTGTTCACAAACCCGCAAACTGCTAATACTAATACCAATAATAATAAGTTGTGGTGGTAATGATACAGTTACTGGAAGAATGTGCATTTCAGAGGCTTTTAAGAACTCAGTATACGGAGGAGGTAATCCACCTTATTTATGGGTAGTATACTTGATACTATCATATTAGTCGATTGTTAAAAGGTGAGATTTTATAGACATGGAGCACATGTCTCAAGGAAATTGAATTATAATACTTTATGAGAGTAATGAAGAATTCTATTTATTTATTTGATGAGTTCGTTGTGTATATGAGGCGTGAGATGAAAAGCTAGGAAGCACTGAACAGCTGTTTCGACCTAATTGGGTATCACTAGCACATTGAGCGAATCCATCAACCCAGCTGGGGATCGAGCCCGAAACCTCACACGTGGAACGCAAGCATCCAAATCACTCGGCCATCCGACAGCTGATCAGACCGTCTCTCATTTTGAATATACAAGACAGCGCAACCCATCTACGCGAGCTTGTTGCAAGTATCGGTCCTCGCTCATCTCTTCACTAACCTTCAGGGCTATGACTTCCACAACCTGATTGTTTGTTGTGTGCGAGTAATGGAGGATTTTTATTTGTTTGTATGCAAATCGGTTTTCACTCTCCGTGCTCGTTTCTCTTCTGCCCTTTGGCAGCCCGTGGATCAATGCTGATTTGCAATTGCCTCGGGAGAAAATCGCCGAACGAGCAGTCGCCAGTTCCGCCCAGTTGAACGCTCGTATCAAATATGTGCAAGATATGATTTTGTTGAAGAACTATTTCGACACATGTCAGGTAATAATTATTTCGCACCCTCTCCCGCCGCCGCTTCCCGTTACACTGTCATCTTGTCTGTTCGTTCGTTGTTCCGTTCGTTGATTCTGCTCACACGGGCGAGCTGTTCTTGATATTGATTGGGTTGTCTGTATCCCAATGGCTCTCAACCCATTCTTGGGATAGACAGCTAGGCAATACATTTTCTGATCCACATTGTTTCGCTGATAAGGGATCCAGATAAACCATTTTCAAGCCATTATGCACAGCCTGAGTGTGTTAGTACAGGTTTTACGAACCGTCCAAATGGAAAATGTGGCTACACGACCTAGTTGGTTTCATTCCGAATCTCATTCTAGCCTCAAATGGTTCGGAGATTGCGATCAATGAAAATCGATAGTTTCGTAAAGTGACCTTGGTCCAGATAGACAAATCTCAAATGAATTGTGTCGGCACCAACAGTGGAGTCTTATCTAACATTTACCACCTTTTTTTTTTTTTACTTTCCACATACATCTCAGTTCAGACTGTGTCAAACAAGTCACGCTACAATAATCTTCATAAAATGAGCAATGGTTCATGGTTTTCTCGAAGACATGATACTGCAAGGTTTCCTAGGCCAAAGCAGGTGAATTTTCTTTGGGAATTCACAACCGGAGCCTTCGGCTAGCCAAAGCCTGACCCGCTAGACAGTGGGGCGTTGTGTGGAACCCACAGTCCATTGGAGACCGGTGTCCAGTGCAGCGGATCAAACGCCCTTTGGACGGGGTCAACGTTCAAAGTGGAGAATATACCTGGATACCCAATGGAGCCGCTGATTAACGCCAAAACTGGGAAGGTGTTGTGGAGTGTGGTTCGTACGCCTTTTCTTGGTTGGTTTGAAATTACGGTTTTTGGCCAACTCCCCTTTAACTGTCAGTGGTTCACTGACCCTGGTACGGCATCAGATGTGTTCGTTTTGGCCATACCTCCGTCAAGAGAAGGTAATGAATAAGGCTTCCTCGGGACAGGCTATTTGAGACTCTTGGTCCCATGGGAGCACTTCGCGAGTAGCCATTGTCGAGGTGACCAATCGCAACCCGAGGCATCCACCCTCGACCATACTGGGTCTTTCCTAACTTCGAGTACATGTGATGCCACTGGGACATCGAGCTGCAATTTAACGATCAGTGGTTTGTGCCGCAGAATTCCGTTCAGTCTTGTCGTACGTTGCACCATCGGTATTGATACCGACAGAACTTGGACGCAGAATATCAATCGCTGTTAGAGCACCGCGGTCTACACGGTAGCTCAACGCATACGCCCACCAACTTGTGTTTGCTGCTAGTGCTTTAGCTTCTACTTCGCGTATCGCTGACTCGGTTTTCTCCGTGTATGATGTTTGCCGAGGCAAGCACAGTGATTGAAAAAAATTGCGAAATTTTTGTTAAATTATGATCATCCTGAAGAGATGGTAACTTGACCAATAGACCAATAATCCCTTGGGTTCCGTTAGGATTAACAAATAGCTGCAAGAAAGTACCGATTGTTGATCGGCAAGGTTCAACCAGGCTCGCTCAAATCTGTCGAGGAGCAGCTAGCCGG